CACCCTCCCTCCCTCTCCCGCACGGACTTCCCCTTCCGCGCGGGCGTTCCGTTCCTCCCCCTCTTCAATATTCATCGCAGCCAATCACGTCCACGCGTCCAGCCGTCACGGTCGTACCGTCCGGAACACAAGGACAGCGCCGCGGCGCCGGGGAGAGCCGAGGCCGACTGACAAACTAACAAGCCGACGCAAGCCCGACAAGTACCCTCCCATAAAACTCCCTTTTTTTCCATTTAAGTTTTCGAAAAAAAAAAATGTTTACTCTTGTGGCAATTTTGCGGCTCGTGGTACAAGTTGGTATGAAGTACAGACTTATTTTTGTTACTTTCTCGGTCCGTCCCTGCCATACAGAGGCGGTGGTACGACGCGGTACAGAGGGGAGATGGAATGCATTTTATTACTTTTGAGCACGATGTATACACTACGGAGGGGAAGATAAAGGTAGAGGCGTACGTGCTATGGAGGCGGGGTATTGGGTGGGGTAAGGGAGGGAGGAGGTGGGAGAAGGGGGGGGGGGGGTCTCTCCCTCCCCTTCCACTTCCGAATACCCGCACACACGTCTGTCATAAGGACTGAAAAATGGGGAAATGATCACGAATGTATATTGTATGCCCAATCATCCCCCTCCCCTCCGGGGCTGCGGCCCTACTCTGCCCTCCACCCCCCGCCAGCAGCACCCTCCACGTTTACTTAACGGTGCTCAATTGTGTGGGCGCTCCGGCTGCTAGGTGCTTCCGGTGCTTCCCCCTGAGAATGGGAATGACTCGTCTAACAACCTCGGCAACCTCGGTTTCCCCTATCTCACTTGTTTCCTCTTTCCCCTTATACTTTAACACGTTGAGTCCCACGTGACCAAAAGTGTGAACACAATAACCCGTGATTGGTACCCCCCCCCCCTCCACCTGGGACTCTACGTGTTAAAACAACTTCCCCCATGTCAGAGGTGGGCAAATGTAAACTTTCCACCCATGTAAGGCAAAGGTGGCGCGAAAATATGGCAACTCCTCCCTGACTGTTCACGGCGCGGTTCACGTTCACGGACACATAAGAGACTTCCCCATGCCTCACCATAGGACGCCAGGGGCTGCTCCGTTCGCCTCTCCAATAAAGTTGTCGGCGTGCAGCCCTGTTCGCACTGATTAGTATTCTAACGAGAGAGGCCCGCGCGACTCGTGCGGTGGCGGTGGCCTGGAGCGTGTCCTCCCCGAGGGTAAGTTTGTTGTAATTGTGACGACCACGACCGCCGTCGCTGCCACCTTGTTCCCGTGCTGGTGGTGCAGCTCGTTCTCGTTGTTATTCTTATCACATTCGATTGATCTTTTCCGGCCCAGACGAAAAGTGAGAAAATGGAAAAAATGGGACTTTTTCCTGCCCACACGACAGAGCTCTGGTGCTGTTGACCATCTAATACGTTTCCATATATTTCTTCCCCCGCCCCGGCTCCCTCCTCCTCACAACCTACGTGGAATAAAGTAAACTTTTCCCATTTTGTGCCAAACCCCCCCAAAACAGAAAGAAAAAAAACTGTGTAAAATGCTCGCAAAGGAATTCTTCGCTAACGTTATGCAAGTTGCGAAGGGCTTAGATGCTGTTGTTATCTACTAAGCATGCGCAGCGACGACCAGGCTTCGCAGGGAATTAACTTTGAATAGGTTTTTGTCTGTTGTCCCTCACCATAACTCTATTACCACCCCTCACCCGCGCCCCCTCCTCCTGTCAGACGGCATTACTCCACGACCATTACCTACCCCACTATGACATCACACATCATGTGCGCGGGTGGGGGAGGGGGTGGAGGGGGGTGAATAAGAGGGGGGTGAAGGGAGTGGAGGGGGGTGGAGGGGGTTTCGGCGGGGTTATTGACCCCCCTCCCCTCCCTTTCCGAATGGCCAACGGACAAGTGCACACGTCGTAGAACAGCGGGGTGGGAGGGCTCTCTGCTTGGCCTTCGACCACTGCCAGCTCCCCTTCTCCGATACTTCTTTCTACCCGTTTCGGAGTGACTGAAAGCAGCTGAAAGCCACATGCAGCTGGCTGCGTGGTATGTTTGGGGCGTGCTCGGCGGCTCGATGGGCATAAGAGCTCCACGTCGCTTACCGGGAGCGCTGGCGAGGACGACGAGCAGGGACGTGAGGACGGACACCACGGGCGGCGCGCTGGATGGCGCCATGGTCTGGAACAGAAACGAAAACAATCGTTGGCGAAAAGTCATTTCTCAAAACGCGCGTTTAGTTTAATTAAAGAAACTGTTTGCGCGGACTACTCTTTGACGGGATGCTGGCTGCGCCGCGGGGAGCTCACAGCTGCTGCCCCCCGCGGGTGCCTCAGCGTCGCTCCCGCGGCTACTTCCGGTGCGATGTGGCGCCGCGCGCGGAGAGTGCCACGCCACGCCACGCCACGCCACGCCACGCCACGCCACGCCACGCCACGCCACGCCACGACACGCCACGCCACGCCGCACCACGCCACGCCGCGCTCCGGAAACGACCGAGTATCAGATGGCCGCGGCTGACCCATATGGGTCGCGGGACTGTCGGTCCAGCAGCAGGTCCAGTACACTGCTGCTATACGTAAAGTGAAGAAAACAAAACAGACGACGTCTATACACGCGACGGTGGCTTTGAAAAGTATTCCCCGGTTACCCAAAACAAATTCGTATTCCAGTGTAATTTTTGGGGGCTGAGTTTTTAAGAGGGTTCATACGCTCCCTCACTACAATTATTGATACCATGGCGTTGGCGTTTACCTATACTGTACCAGTGGCGCAGCGTCACTTTCCCGCCCGATGTGCACACCACGCTACATTCCAATCGCATGCGCTGCTGTGAAACCAATCTTTTTTGTTTTCACTTTTCCTCTCGCTGTTAGAGTAGAGCCAGTCCGGTCGGAGCAAAGTAGACAGGATGTCCCATAGGCTCCTGTGCTTTCTTTTGGCAATACTATCTACCGCATACAGGCGTGCGGGTGGGCTTGCCTAACGTCGCTCCGTTGCTCATCGTGGCGCCGCGTCAGTAGGCAAACCGGCCACATGCATGAATGCGGTACAGTATAAACAAGAAAGCAGAAGGGCGGGCTAAAAACCAAGCATGACATTTTTACATATTTTTTTCACGCTTTCCTCGCTTAAAAGATGATAAAAGTTTTAATTCATATTTTTTTGCTGTGACTCTTACGCGTTTAAGTCTCTAAAACGTTTATTCATCCCCACAGCACAACGGGAAGCCCTGCTGCACGCACGCACGCACTCCATTCCGTGTCTTATTTGCCGTCATTAAATAACTATCAAACCTGTCGAGCAAACACAGAAGTGCGTTACGTGTCAATGTCAACATTGCGACGTGTCGATAGTTCGACCGGGCCGGGCAGACGACGACGACGACGACAGCTCCGTAATGACAATGCCACGAGGGTCCATTCATTTCTGGTCCCCACCATTCACCGGGCGGGCCGGCCGGCGCTCGCACCGCCACCCCCGCGTGGGCTTGTTGTTCCAACAACAAATCACACCCTCCTCACGCGCTGCGGCCCGGTAAGTGGAACACGCACAAAAATAGTGGAATAAATACATTTTTCTTCTCGCTGGATCACTGTCTTTGCGCTGTGGGATACTGGTGGGATCTACTATGAAAATAAGAATAATAACACTGGTCATGATTGAGAAGCGGTAATTTCTGTTGTTTTGTCGGCGCGCTCGGGTAGCCATGCGGCGCCACGCGGCTCCCCGCGCGGTCCGGCCGGCCGCCGGCCGGGGGAGGGTGCCGTGCTGTTACCTTGTGCCGTGGTCGCGCGCGGCCGGCCCCGTAAAGTTATGCAGTGCGAGTGCTCCGCTTTGATTCCTTTCTCGATCGGACGGGGACCGCGGGCAGAGCAGCCAGTACTGTTAGTCCTCTCGAGTAATCGGTTTTAAAGTCTGGCTGACACCACCGCCGCCCATTCTTGGTCGATTCGATGTCGTGTGTATAGAGATTTAAAAGTCCGAAATTTTCTCGAAAAAAAAAATCGGGAAAAAATGAACTATTTGCCAAAAATTAAGAAAAAGTAAAGATTTTCAGGAAAAAAAATCGGAGATTTGGAAAAAAATATTCTTGAACAATTTCCCAAGAATACTTAACCGGAAAATTAATTAATTTAAATCCCTAGTCTTATGATATGACGTCAAATTTACCATAATTAGAAGGATCAGCCGCATAATACCAACACCGTGAAGTTGTGATGTGACTGCGTCTGACTCTTTTCGATCTTCTTCACACTGAAAACTTAGGGACATTTTTATTCATAGCTTACTGAGTTCTGTGTACGTGCTCTGCTTATGCATTTCCTAATACGCCAGTATGAACAAATTTGTTCACAGCGGAGTATTAAAAATGCGTAAGCGCAGAGCACGTACACAGAACTCAGTAAGCTATGAATAAAAATGTTCATAACTTTTGGTGTGTTCTTTCTGTATTATCGGCTGATGAGTTACGACGCGCGGTTTAGGGCGTATCGTTTACAATTACGGGCCTACGTGAGTGCCAGTCATTCTTTATGCCTCAATTCATGTCGGACGCGCGCCGTCACAGACAGTCACATACACACACACACACACACACACACCGTCACAAGAGAGACAAGGGGCTGCGGCGGCACACGCAACGCTACCGGCCCAACCGCCGTAATTCGACTCCTATCAACGAAACCTCCCCCACCCCCTCGGGCCCCCATCTACAGCCACCCCTTGAATCGTGGCGCCGGCGCCGGCCACTCCTCCCCACCCCTACCCCTTTCACCCTTCGCTTATTTCACCCCCTCGCCCCCACCCCTTTTCTGCTCCCATCACTTAATTTTTAATACCGACAAACAATCCGACACGTGTGTGCGTGGTGAGGCCTTTGTGCCTTAAGTCACAAGCATGCTTTGGCTTTGTGTGGCCGAGCGACGCCCTTACCTTTCGGCAGGGGAAGACCCCACTACCCCAACTAGCCCTTCTATTCAAAGTGAATCCGTCGTTCTTGCATGCAGCCAGCAGCAGGTCGCACTTCTTCTCTTTAAGTCTGATTTGCCCGCTGCTTCTTTCGCTTCTTTTTTATTGCACACCATCTTTTCGCGTTCTTGACATGGAGAGACCAGCCATTAAGGCTGCGACGTCGTCCTCTGAGTGATGGGAGCTGTTCCGAGCGAGACGGACATGACGCGCCCGTGCGAAAGAAATAAAATGAGAGGAAGCTCCAGTGTATATTCTTAAATTAATGGCCGGATAACATCTTTGCGTCTTGCGCTCGTTTGCGCTCAAATATCATTTTAGGCTCATTTTTCTTTTCGGCAGGCGGCGAGCGCTTTCCATTTCGTTTGACGCGAGGCCGTGGCACTGGGCGAGTGGCGCACCGACACACAGATACTCCCCCCCCCCCCTCCACCTTGGAGCCCTATGCGCGACGGAGCGTGCCGCCGCCGAGGGAGGGGGCGGGGGGCAGAGTTGAGCAGTGAGCCACCCGCACCCGCCGAGTACACAACTACGTCTGCTCACACTGTGCGACTATGCGAGTGGATTTTCCTCGGGATTTTCATAACTTTATATGGAGAGAAATGACACCAAGGTCCAATGGGACATTAAATAATGATTTTCTGCCCTGTTTTCATCCGTTAAAAAGTTAATTTGCTAACCAGCTGGACATGTTTTACAGTTGTTTTTGACCGATTGCGGGACTAATGATGGAGCACAAGACGAAACAAGAAAACACCGGAAAAAAACATGCAAAATGAAAATAATACAAGCTTTATTGCTATGTTGGGATGTGCCATGTGTCGCGTGACACACCTGTGTTCACAACTGCTCGCGGGTGCTATGGGCTCGCCTTTTGGTGCTGCGGTCCATGGTCCATGACGCTCCATGACGCTCTCGTCCTCCTCCCCGTGCCTGCGCGGTGCCGGCGCGCGGCCGACGTGCCGTGCGACACCCGGGTGGCGCCCGGCGCCTCCAGCCTCGTTATCACTGTTATCACATCGGAATATGGCGAGTAATTACCGCGGAAGGCCTCCTAGCTCCTCCCGCACAACAAAGGCCCACAATACCGCGTCGCGCCATATCACCATCGCGTTCGCGTTCCTTCATTTTTCAGCCGTCTCGCGAAAAAGAGCTGGTTAAACTGTCAGGAAAAATGGGAAATCGCACACTGGAAAAACAAAGGTGTGTCCAGTCGCCTTTTTTGCACAGGTGCCAAGTAAATTTTGAGTTTAGTGCCTCTGTAAGGGACTCTTCTAAAACGCTTGTTAAAAATAAGTGCCTTTGTAAAGGCACTACACTTCAAAGGTGCAACTTTAGTAACACCAAGACCAAGGCAATTGTAAATATTTTTTGAAAAAATTAACGAAAGGAAAGAGGCGACGCCGTGCGGTGTTGGTTGTTCTGTTGTTGGGCCAGGTAGGTCCGGTGTGGTATGGTCATCGCAGTGTGTATGATGAGTTCAATGCTCGGTGCGCACACCAACACGGCTCGGCTCGGCTCGGCCCGCTGTGGTCCGGTGCGTTACTGGCTGTAGCGGCCGGAAGCACCCGAGTACAGAGCGGGCCCGACCGGACCCGACCCGACCGAGCAGACGGTCACGCATCACAGACACCCTCCTCCTCCCCTCGTATCCTCTCTCTCACTCCACCTCATTCAACTAGTGGCGTAGCGAAAGAGCGCGGACACGCGCGACATCAGAGGTTTCTCTATCAACAAACGTCGTGAACGCGAAGTACGTTAAGGTTGACGTCGTCCTTCAAAAACCTACAGCCAGTACGAGAAAGTAACGCAAAAGTGCAAAAGCTCGATGCTCTACATTTAGAACTGTGTTACATTTTATCCGTCTGTGGAACACGAGCTGTGCTGTGCATGTGTGACACGCTTGGTGAATTTGCCCTTAAGTGTTATTAGACCCCTATCCACATAATTTTCGCTGCAATTTTCCCACTCTTTAATTTTGACGGCGAGGCAGTGACAGTGAGCGAGCACAGCTAAGCCCTCCTCGATGATCTCATCTCAGCGCCGCCCGCCGCCTCGTCCCGCGGCTCCACACCTCGTTCCGGCCCGCGCTTCCGAACTGAATAGGGAAGGCTGTGACGATATGGAGACGAAGACGAGAATCGATTGATACAGCGTAGTCCACAAACCCCTTCCTTCCTTTTACTTATACTGTACCGGATGCAGGCGTG